AATACTAAACAATTTCCTAGCTTGCTTTGATTTTGCTTGACATTCAACAAATAATCGATGGTTAGAAAAAGCAATTTACAAAAAAAAAAAGAAACAGACTGAAAAGTAAGGTTTACAGTCTTGTTCTAAGGAAACTCTATATTTTTTGGTCATGAAGATTTAAAATTAAGTTTGTGATGAAAAAACTGGAAAATAATGCTTTCTGAAGCATACCAGACTATTCTAACAAAAACAATTGCACAAGCACTAGTTGATTTTGTCGTCAGACTGTGCCACTTTGCTTGCAATTTGTGGCAATTTTGAAAGAAAAATTGTTCGATAGAATCACCATCTGTTGACGAACTTTCTTACTAATTTTGAAACTTGAGAAGAAAAAAAACTAATTTCCTAAACAGAAAGCAGCATACCATACACTCCTATTTTTTTTTTTTAAATTTTCTTTAATAGATTTGTTAAAACTTCAATCATTTTTGTACAAACTGTCTTTTAGTCATGTTTAAACAGTTGTGTTTCAGCTTCTATTCTGTACGAAAGTGTAAGTAATTCAACCAATGAAATGTCAATAAAGGGTTAAGAGATACCTAACACAAGAAACCATTCAGCAAAAAATTTTGATGTGTGAAAAGTCAAAGTCTGCATCATGTAACAGTTCCCTTTTGCTTTGTAACAGCTGTAACATATGACTGTTATAACCTATCCCCATTATTCATAGATAAACTTAAAGTTATTCACAGGTGGGACAGAAAATCAACTACAAGATATATTTGCAAGGATGCTGGATAACAGAGGCAAGAATTAAGTAGTGATATATAATGTACAGTACTCCTATATTTTGCATTCCAGCATCCATGTATATGCCACATGAAAATTTTTTCACAAATACATTAATGCAATTTATTTGAACAATCATAGAGATGTCCAATCCAACGTCACTTGACAATATCTCACATTGACTTAACTACACTTGTACATTATTTGATTGCCAATAGCAACAATACAGAGAGTTAAAATTGCATTGTTGCCATTAGCAACCAGAAGACATAAATAGTTGAAGAATCTCCGAGAGACGTTCAGTCTCATAAGTTGGATATCTCTATAGTGCAGATCACATGGTTAAATAAATACTACAAATGATAATCTGACGGTAAAATAATTATTACACAAAATTTATTATTACTCATGCCTACAGTGCAAATATTTAATGACCAGCATTAGAAATTATAAAAAAATCAGTATGCATGATTATGTGTTGGTCCATTAGAAATTTAACTGTATATTTGCACATCACTTAAAACCATTTTCCTGCTTCATAATAACATCACATTTATTAGTTTATTTTGAATCAAAATTGCAGCTATTACCCACATTAAATTCAGAAAAATAAATATTAATTGCAATAACCATGAATTAATATAAAAATACAAAGAACCTAACATAGTAAAAATGATCAAATGCTCTCAAATAAGGTGGTTTGGGACATGTATTTCGATATAGCGATAAAAATTCTGTGCAAAAATAACTTTCCAAACACTAGAAGTGAAAAAGACCTAGAACAAGATGATTAGATAGAGTAGAGAAGTGGTTAAAGGACTTGGAAGTTAATAGATGGAAAAATATTGCATCGAACAGATCTAGATTGGGTAAACTGACTGAGACGGCCTTGGCCGGTAATCGGCTTTAGCGTCTAAGAAGAAGATTAATTGAATATATTTTTTAGAAGAAAATTAATTGCATTATATTTTTTAGATGAAGATTAATTGCAATATATTTTGCTGCCTGCATCAAACTCTAGTTTGCAATTTGTCAGCAACTGATTCCGAAATATAAGAGTTCACTTATGTGGGGCATTTTTTTTTCTTTCTTCAATGTATAATAATATTTTTATTTTTTTTGAACATGGTGCCTTCTTTTCTTAAAATCACATTTTGTATATTAAAGTTAAATAAATAATTCTATAATAAGCCTCAAATATGAAAAAAAATTAAGACATGTCGCAGAAGTGCTACACTGAATTATTCCATTACACCCTGACATTTATTATACCATTCCAACTTAATGAATTTGCTGTTGTTCTATTACTGAACAACATGTGTACAATTACACTATTGAATATATCTACTGTGAATGTGTTGGTGGTCCCACGGACCAGTGATTATTATTCCATAGTGGTTCAAGGGAGTTAATATTTAATTACATTGAAATTTTTATATTTCGAAAGAAATATACAACATATAGGACAAAAAATTTATACTCTCCATTGGTGACTGAATATTTAAAGTCGGCAAAGTAAGTTTCATCTTTGAAAAATGTTGCCTAAAATCAAAATATTTATCCTTTCCAAATGTATCCCAATAGTGTTTATGTGAAAAATATCTGGATGCAACTTCTATAAGCCTTTGATGACTCAAAATTTGCTTCAACAATTTACTCAGAATTTCCGCATATGGACCCCACCCTAATATATTTCACCTGAAACATGAACCCCAAACAAATGATATTTTAGTGCCCAAAAGTACTGGTATACAAACAGGAAGGGATAGAAGTATAGGTCTATTTCTGATATTTCACTTATTTGAATGATTTATAATAATATTTGGATTATATTGGAGTCAGTGAAACCTTTTTTAAATACATATTATTTTGCAAATAATATGCAAACAAAATTCTAATTTTTTTTTNTTTTTTTTTTTTTTTTTGGTCATCAAAACCTCTTTGACACTACATAACCAGGAATATCAGGACAAAAAAGCTAAACTCCAGGAGAAAAAATTTAAGAGGAAAACTACAAAACCCTACATTTGTTAACTTTTGAAATGTACTTATATTTTTCATAAAAATAGTGGAGAGCAAAATTTTAGTCTAGCTAGTACCTTTAGAACTGAAATTTCACATCCCATAAATAAGATTTAAAATTTTTTTTTCAAACTCTGTATGAGTTACCTGAATTGGTAAATTTATTTAATCTTGTGATTTGTTAATAATCATTATCAATCAGCTAATGATGTCATTGTGCCCCATTTTAATCACATTAAGCAGTGGCTGCTGAACTTCATTCATGAAATGATGCTAAAACTTACAACAATATGTTAGTATATTCAGAGTCAACTTTGAATTGAATGCATAATTATTACTAAAGAAACATAAATTGAAACAGTAGTGAGGTATAATTAAAAAAATTTTTTTGAAGGCCTTTCAGTAAAAAATGTATCACATCCATTCGTAAAATGGTACAGAGCTGTTCTCAATGGGAACATTAATCATCACAAGTATATTTAATTATTCAAACTCTTGAGACAAATTTATTCATAGCTAGGAAATAGTAGTAATATAATGCATGTTAATCTATGTATTATAAACAGAATACAACTTACAAAAGTGCTTTTTCTGAAGTCATTTATAAGTAATTGTTTTACACATTTCAGGGCAAAAATCTGAAATGAATAACAAAAATCATAAATGAAGAGCTGACAAGATAAACATCTTTAGAGACAGTTTTGAAAAAATTGAAGAAATTTCTCACACAAAGATCTTATTAGTCTTATAATTTGACTTAACAATGTCACGTCACATATTTTGGTACATTTGAAAATAAATAAATGAATGATTTCACCAAGTGTTGAAGTGTATGTTAAAAATAAACTCTAAATAAATTGCAAATATATATACATATCTGAGGCGCAAGTAAAAATAAATCAATAAATTAAATGTTATTAGAAATATAATAGATACAATATTTTTCTTAAATTCATATACTAACTTTTGAAATAAAAAATAATTAATGAATATTGTATTATATTATACAGTAAAATTGTATTATACATCACTTTTAAATACTTATAACCATAAATACAACACATCATGATTCTTATATAAAATTATCAAGAAAATTAAATTTTTATATTATTTTTTTAAATAGGTTAAAATGTAAAACTAAAATTGGGATCTACACAGAATAAGACGTTAAATTAAGAAGAAAGAAAAAAAATAAAATAAAAAAGAGGGAGCTGAAAAGTGAATCAAGTTAAAATTATTTTGTTAAACAGCAAATTTATTAATATTTTTGTATAAATGCTGCTCCATGGGGCAAAAATATCAAATCTAATATATCAAATAATTTGCAGCAAGCATTATAAAATTTTAACAAAAAGATTGATTTATAACCATTACTAATAGATGAGCAGGTTTAAAAAATGCTCAATTTATCTTGGAATAATGGAATGTTAGTAAGTCTGAATTTTATAATTACCTTATAAAGGTGTATAAATAACAAAAAAGTTCACATAAACCTTAACTTAATTGACAGACTACAAAAAACAAAAATTAATTATTGAATGATTCCCAATTAGCCAGGAAGAAAAATCAAAGTTACCATCACCTATCTTCAATCAACCAATGGATTTAAAGTAGATTTTTTAAAAAAAAAGTGGGCTTTAATCAGAAAATCTACGAAGCATAACAAAAATTTGAAAAAAGGTGAAAAAAAAGATAAAATGATAAATAAAAAGGTGGAAAAAAAAGGAAGTAAACTGATAAAAAAAATAACAGAAAATGATGGATACGAGAAAGGAACTCATGTCTGAAACCTTAAAATATTTTGATGGACTTTATATTGGAGTTGGAATAATAAAAATGGACTTAATATTAAAAACAAAATAATTCATAAGTTTATAACACTTGAAATTGACTAATTCACATAGAAAAGTGTATTGTAGGTTTAAGTGTAAAGAAAACAGCTTACCTCGTGTGACAATATATGAGAATTCTTCCTGTTTCATACATTTAAGGAACTTATATATAGGTTCATCACACAGAAAAATATTAAATAAAAATCAAAAAAATGCATAAAGATCTTTCATGTACAAGAAATAAAAGAAAGAGAGAATTAAATTAATAACTTTTATTGAAAAGTGTACAAGAAAGAATTAAAGCGATAAAAAAAAATTAACATACTATATTGGATATAGACGTGTGCACCATTCTGAAAGCTTTTGTTTCACAAACAATTACTTATTATGGATATATTTTCATTTATTAAAAGGTTACTTAATTATCATCATGGGTCTTTATTATACAGGGGTCTGTCTGGGTTTTTCTGAGAGGTAACCATTTTGTGAAAATTTAGACATAATTTGTGAAAAATTAAATTAAGAAATCAGCACAAAAATATGAATTTATAGTTTCTTACAGGGCAAAAAATTTTTTTTTAAAGAAAAAGTTTTTTGTGATTTCCTAAAGTTGAATTTTTGACGGTACGGCCAAACGGTAGTAAATTTGGTGTGGACAGACCCCTGTTATAGGACATCAGGGACTGGGTATTATTCAAATGTACGACACGATGGGAACTGTAGGTGTAGGTTTTTCGGAGGACAGGGAACAGATATTTTTTAAAAATAGATTAAGTTAGAGGACATAACATGTATCATTTTATTAGTTTTACAAGGTTTGAAATAAAGGAAACTTAATAACTGGTCCAAAGGACAGGTAATTCAAAGGTATGATACAACTGCACACATTTTTGCTAGTCTACTTAGGTGTCTCTATTAATTTTTTTATTTTTAAAGTTAATAAATTAAACTTGTATGAAAATTTACTATACAGAGAATGTGTAATGTTACAGTTAAGATAAAATATGCTATCATGTGACAAGAACGAGAAACCGAAAATCAAAACACACCATTCCCTTATATCTATTGGTGGCCTGGGGAGCTACTTATAATTATTTAATCAACATACATATCAAATATATATATAAATAAAAAAAAAGTTTTAAAAAATTAAAAGAGTGAAGGGAGGTAGGTAGCTCCATCACAATGAAAGCTTAGCATTTTAAAAGAAATTTGGATGTCATTCAGTTGTCTTAAGAAATAGTATTTCTAGCAGAAATATCAGTACAAAAATGTGATAAAAATTAGAAAAAAAAAATAAATTACAAGACTTAAAAAAAAATAGTATGCAATATATATGAATAAAAATTGAAATCGAAATAATTTCTCAATAAACTGTTCCTAAGCCAAAGTTACCATCAGTTCCTTATCGAAAAAAATATTCACAATTTATTTTATAACATACCTTCAGTTCATTTATTCTTACCTACATAAAAAAAAAATTGCATACAATATTTTGTGAGACAAGAATAAATGCAAAAATTACTTTGTTCAATGGTGAAAGAAGTTTTTATAATTAAACCCATAAGTATATTTATAAACTTTACAACATAAGCATTATTCGAAATTTTTATCACATCAATCAGTTTAAGATTTTAAAACATCTATTAAAAGTTTTGCAGCATTCGTCACATTTGCCGGTAGATCGACATCTTCTTTACATTTCAACAGAAACTGCTGAACATTTAAAGTCTTAAAAGAAGATAAGGCAATCTTATTGGATACAGACAGAGTTCCGATACCGACTAAGGCTCGATACAAAGCTTCCGAGTCGACTAATATGTACAAAACTTCACTGACATCTCTACAATAATGTTCCACATTAAGAGGTCTTCCATTATATCCTGCAATTGCATAGTTCATTAACAACGATGCACAAGCTTTCTGAATATTCTTGTCATTAGACAGTAGCACTTCTTTAACAGTCGTGCAGATTTTATCTTGAAAATTCATCACAACTTCTTCTCCTTCTTCAGAATCAAACAAATTGCAGAATATTTTGATAACCAGCAGTTTATTAACAGATTTATTTGTGCTTCGTATTATTTGCAGTAGATGATTGATGAACGTCTGACCACTGACGACCTTCAAACGAATGACCTTGCACCTGACGGCAAGACGAAGCAAATCCAAAGCTGGAAAAAGATACTCATCACTCCAAGTCAAGATGACATCTAAAGACTGCAATTGTTCTTTGGAAACATCATCAGGCAATTTGGTCAATAAGGCAAGATTTTCAATGTCTGACGACTGAACAAACTGTTCCTTAGGAACAACAGAACTGAATTCAAGTAACTTCGCTTTTAACCCATTTGCATTTATATTTGTATACAGAAAATACTCCTTTACTGGGAAGTAATCATTTTGAACAGTATTTAGTTCTGAAGCGGTCAGTTTGAATATGTAATCGGCTATTTCACTGGTATGACTTATAGCCAAGGAATGCTCAGCCACAAATTTCTGCGCTACATCCCAAGGGTCTTCTCCTTTGCGATAAATAACTTTGAAAAACTGACCTTTAACCTCAATTAAAAATTCTATATTGTCATTGTTGCAATCCCCGCCATTATCCAACGGAGGATCTTTATTGAACAATTCGGCCGGAATCTCGTCACCCGGCTTGCCGTCGACGGTCGGAAGAGGCGAATCGGATCGTTTTTCTTCGACGTAGGTAAACTCTGTATAATCTAGAGGTGTTTTACCTATAATATAAACACTTCCATCACTGCAACCGACGGCTAAATCTCCATTCGTTAAGCACGTCACGGACCACAAAGTTTTTGATGTAATTGCAATAGCTTGGACACAGTGTCCCTTTTCCCATATTTTTAAAATCTGATCTTCACCACATGTTGCAAAATCAACTCCATTATTGAAAATAGTAATACTGTAGATATAGTTAGAAGAGCCATTATAAATATTTAAGCACTCTCCATTTAAATTCCACATCCGTATGGAGCCGTCATTGCTACAGGAAAGAAAATTCATGTTTGACATGATAGCAAGTCCACGAACACAATCTTCATGGCCATAGAGAACTTTCTGACAAGTACCTGAATGCCATATACGAATGGTACGATCAGCTGATCCCGTCAATACAATATTTTGACAGGGCAAAACTTCGGTAGCCCAAACTGCTTGGTCATGACCTTCTAATATATTAGTACACTGTTGACCAGTCCACAAGCGAGCTGTTTTGTCCCACGAACCACTGACAAAAAATCCAAAATTCCCCGCTGACAATGAACAAACTGTACTTGAATGCCCAAACAATCGTAATACAGGCTCACTGGAATTAAAAGTAAATCCATATATTTTCGAATCATTACTTCCAGCTAATATCAAACCATCAGGATAATCAGAACTAGAAGGAAGTATACATAAACTAGCAATAAAGTTTGTAGCTCCAACTAAGGTGCACTCTTTCTTGAAAGAATTCTCCCCATCTGAAGTCCAAACTTTAACTAATGAATCACGGGAACCGGTAATAATACCACTATCGGAAAAAGCTGCGGCTTTAACTACTCGTACGTCACAGTCATGCGCTTTATAAGCATATTTAATAGAATATTTATATTGCTGCATCTCTGAAGTATCCATACCTAAGAAAATATTACAACACAATTAGAAGAAAGAGGATATTAAATAAACAACAACAATAAGTACGAATCACAAACTTGACGAAAGATATGATTGACTGATATTCATTCTTCATTCCAAAAATGATTATTCATGAAACTGAACGAAGTGCTTTAACCTAACTCTCTTCAATTAAAAAATTAGCTGAATAGTAAGGTTGGATTAAATCATATTTGAGGTACTTCAATTCTCTTTTTCTTTTTTAAAGAAATTTTTTGCAATTTTCAAAATTTTTTTCCCCTGAGTGGAACACTCAGTCGAATTCAATGACCTATGAAACTAACAGGACAAGGGACCGCTCTCATTGAATAAAATAACGTAGATGCGAGTTCAAAGAAATAAATGTGAAAATGTGAACTAGATAAGGTTCACACGCACCGGTTACACTGGTCTGCCGCACTGACCGTTCCAATATTAAAACTGGTTACACCAGTGCACTGCACTGATCGTTCCAATATTCAAATCAGTGTCACCAGTTACGCACGAAGTGCTCCAGGTTTCTGGTTAGGTTTAGTCAGTTCGTATGACGTCATTACCCTAATTTGTTTACAAACTTCATTATACTGCTGTTGAGGTCGTCATAATTTTGCTGTATTTTTGAATGGATTTTATTATAAATTTGTTATAAAAACTTGTTTTATCATTAAAAATAAATGTTCTTGTAGTAAGTTGAAGTATAATAATTATTATTGGAAATGTATTCTGTAGATGAATCGTCTTGATGCTGTTTATAGCAATGGATATCATTCATAAACGTTTTATTTCTGATATTAGCATGTTTTTGTTTTCAAGACTAAGAATTCATCTGAATTTTGATACGTGTGGTGATTAAATTTACTTGATAGATTCACATCAAAAGAATTTAGACTTGTGATTTTCTATAAACATATCGTTTTGTAAATCAAACAACTATCCAAAGCATCGTTAAATTTGTAATAGTGATAGAACTTTAAAATCAGTAGAAGATTTATTGCTTCATATGCATTCATAAACATTTTCGTCCAACGTATATTGTTTTTAAAATAAACAAATCCAATCAATATTTGATTGTTAAATACATTTCTTTTGCGTTATAAATTTTTCTTATATCCTTTTTATATTCCATAACAGACCTGGAACGATGAATATTATCCTAGCTTAATAACAAATTATGCTTTTAGTTTTTACTGTATTATACATCATATGAGTTTCATTATAGGGGCTGACCTAAGTTGTTAAACTAGGCCTTCAATGTATTATGCTTATAATTTGTATTGTATGTATTTCTTTTTATAATATTAAATCATTTCTGATAAGCACAACGTAGTATACTACGTTGTGCTTATCAGAAATGATTTAGGATAGATTTCCATATCAGGATAGATTTCCATATCATCACTATAGTGATGATATGGAAATCTATCCTGATCTGTACCTCCTTCAGCACACGTGCAAATCAATGTCTTACATTAATAACAGATGATATAGTTTGTGTAAAAGGATCTTAAATAGAGCCCAACGACAAAGGTCGTTCAGTGGCCTGTGTTATTAGAACTAGGCTTTTAATGCCAAAGGTTTTTAACATTTATATTTCTTTCATAATTTTTAACTAAAATAAATTCTGAAAATCACAATATAATTAACATTCTAGCATTATATTATGACATGATAATTTTGAACAATATGAAGATTTTATATGTTATTGGTAAATTTTTAATTTAAGCTTTGATTCTGTTTAAAATTTAAAAAAAAATCAACTTCTATGGATAGGTGGACTAATGTAAACAATAACAAGTGTCCTTAAACCGGAAGAAATTTAGAAAATTTCCGGTGTATCCCTCCGCATATGTTATGACTACGAGGCGATGTGTGAACAAGCCAATTATTCTATGCAGTTTTGTTATTGTAATTTGGTCTCAAATCTAAACATAATTGTACCATTCATAAGAGCTTTCAGAAATGTANTAAAAGGATCTTAAATAGAGCCCAACGACTAAGGTCGTTCATTGGCCTGTGTTATTAGAACTAGACTTTTAATGCCAAAGGTTTTTAACATTTATATTTCTTTCATAATTGTTAACTAAAATAAATTCTGAAAATCACAATATAATAAACATTCTAGTATTATATTATGACATGATAATTTTGAACAATATGAAGATTTTATATGTTATTGGTAAATTTTTAATTCAAGCTTTGATTCTGTTTAAAATTTTAAAAAAATCAACTTCTATTTACATTTCTTATTAGTTCATTACTTTTTGTTTCAAGATTTCTTAATGATAATTATTTTTTAATTCAAGATATTTATTATGTGATTATTGATCTATATGAAATATAAATATTTATTTTTTATAACACTAACTTGAAAATTTCTGAAACACTTAGTAATAACTGTTGTTTTATATAAGTTTTTTTTTTGAACTATACTACTAAATCTAACTTTTGGCAAAATTTTTTTAAAAAAAAGACTGAAAAAAGTGAATTATTGACTAGCCTGTGTCATCTTAAACTTTCGGGTTAATATTTGAACTTATTTTAAAAGTTTGATTTAAAACATTTCTGACAAATACAACTTAATAGTTATGACAGGGAGATTTAACTTTATGTGAAACATCTTTGTATACACCATTATTTCACACTAATTGCAAATAATAGTTAAGTTTATCTGAAACGATTTTAAACTTATTGGCAAAGGTTGCTGTCACTATGTGTAATTATATTACTACAAACTTAAATATTTCTGTCCAACATAGAAATTTTTTTATTACAATAATATCTGTAGATTACAATATTAGCGAATTTCTTATTTTTGAATGTAAACAAATAAAAATGCTTCAAACTTTATCATTAGTATTAGTTCATCTCTTGTTTTGTTGCAACATTTTTGTTTCTTAATTTTTTTAAAAAATTTAAGTTTTATATATATATATTACAATAAAATGATATTGTTGTGTTAAAACATTTTTTTAAACTTAAATACAATAATTGTATAGTTGTGATGGAATACTAAAGCTCCCACTTGTAGCAAAATTTAAATAATATAATTCTCTCTTTTTAACACAAACTCATTTCAGGTAAGTATGAACATAGGAGAAATATTTATAAATATTTCTCCTATGTGGCACCATGTACTAGTGTATTTCTATATATATTAGCAACCCTGTTTAGTGTTTCAAAGTAAATTTTAAACAGCATAAGTGCTTCACAGTAGAATTCAAGAAAAGTGCCTTGACAACTATTTTCTTTCTATTGCTAATACTGTTAAGGCTAAAATAGAATTTCAAATAACTGGTAAAATAAAAAAAAAATTTTGAAAAAAAAAAAGAATTCATCAAGTAGCTTTTCATACAGAAATGTTAACTATATAAAAACCTGTAGCGCCTACATCGCCAAGATACCACAGCACCACCACATACCAGGCAGTGGATGCTCAGACATTGAACCGAATGTCCTTTTTTTTCTCCTTCTCGTAATTAATCAAATTTTTTTGTCCATGTGCTATTTGTAAATTAATAAAAATATTTGGCACTAAGCTTTACAGTTGTTATGCATTAAGTATTTATTTAGAGTCATCTTGTAATTTTATAGAAATAAACACCATAAATAAAATATGGTTTTATAATATGTAATTAAGTTTGGTAAAGTTTGATAATTTTATCATAATACCTTAGAGCAGAGATCGCCAAAGTGGTCTATA